CCATCCATAACAAACAAACAACAAACAATAATCCTATTATCGGCTTGATGATTCCTCTTCTTTTGACGTTTTTTTTTATTTAACTCTAATTTAATCTAAATTATGAGCAGAGAAAAACACTGACAGGCACGCACTTTGTCTATACGTTCCGATTTTTACTCCAGATGAGCTTATTGAGTTTATCAATACAATCCCCCTGACAGAGGCCTTGTGATATCATCCATATAATATTATGTCACTAAAAATGAATGCTTAATTATTTGCCATGTTGTGCCTCAAACATTTGTGGAGCCTGGAGTATAATGAATAAAATTCAATTAGTACCAGGCTGAGATATATTAAGGCATGTACAGTGCACACTCTTTTTTTTGATATTCCGAATTAAATTCATGATGTTCATGTATGTAATCAAAGTTAGGTAATATGCAGCCCAGGCAGTGTCATATTATGTGGATGAAGTGTGTCGGTGTGTGGTGGGTAGGGGTCTGGCTTGTTATGACCCTGGGTTCACTAACCTTGTCCATATTGACAGCTCCTGCTATTTGGGGCCATAACTGTGAGGGATCCCTGTGGTTAGATTACTGAGAGATGAATGCTCTGCCTGTATGTGAACATGCAAGTCTGTGTGCATGTGTCTGTGAGACTGCTTTTGCTTTTACTGATTACCCATTTTACCTGCTGGCACTCTGAGAGAAAATATCAGATATTGTCTCGATTGGCTCAGTGACACAGAAATAATACAATCAACACCCATAGTAGTTTATACACTAATACGGCCATTGAAATATGCTTAAATTCACAGTATGATTAGTTAGGCATGAAGATATATCTAAGTCATAATAATTGTGTGTATATCTGTGTGTTTTGTTACATAGATAATGTGACAGGTCATTTGCGGAGACCTCAGAGACAATCCTACTTTCACAAAGAGATAAAATGACCATTGAAAACTCATATGATCACATGATATCTGTGTCTATTAAATGTTTAGGTCCTTATCATGAGATGCAATCAGTCAGGGTAAGTAAAGTATCTTATCTAATCTTATGGCGAGAAGAACATGGAGTCCTGCGCACAATGTTAAAACAGCCTCCACAGTCAGCAGTTAAGTAATGCTGCATCTACAGCATCTGCTTTATCTACAGGGTGAGCCATTTATATGGATACACCGTAATAAAATGGGAATGGTTGGTGATATTAAAGTCCTGTTTGTGGCACATTAGTATATGTGAGGGGGCAAACTCCTCAAGATGGGTGGTGACCATGGTGGCCATTTAGAAATCGGCCATCTTGGATACAACTTTTGTTTTTTCAATAGGAAGAGGGCCATGTGACACATCAAACGTATTGGTAATGTCACAAGAAAAACGATGGTGTGCTTGGTTTCAACGTAACTTTATTCTTTCATGAGTTATTTACAAGTTTGTCTTTGTTCACAGCCATTGACATGTCGAAGAGTTTAACACATGAGGAGCGGATCGAAATTGTGTTGATATCTGGTGAACGCACAAACCGGGTCATTGCAGCAGATTTCAATGCAAGACACCCTACGAGACCACCCATCTCCCATGCTACAGTCAGCAAACTGCTTGCTAATTTTCGTGAAACTGGTTCACTGTTGGATTTGCCAAAATGTGGACTCAAGAAAACTGTCACTAATGAAGAAACGTCAGTGGCTGTCCTAGCTTCATTCAGCAAGAGCCCACAGCGTAGCACTCGCCGCATGTCACTGGAGAGTGGCATTAGTCAAACATCCTTTCGGTGGATATTAGCTACTCACAAATGGCACACTTACAAACTCCAGCTACTGCAGCATCTCAACGAGGATGACCCAGATCGGGGCACAGAATTTGCAGAATGGTCAAAGCAAAAACTGGAATGCTGAAGATTTTGTTCAGTGATGAGGCAAACTTTTATGTGAATGGTGAAGTTAACAAAGAAAACCACCGCTATCAGTCTGACACTAACCCACATTGGATGGATCCCTCCAAGACTGCTGGACCAACAAAAGTGATGGTTTGGTGTGGTATATGGGGTACAACGATAGTGGGTCCATTCTTCATCAATGGTAACCTCAAGGCCACTGGATATTTGAAATTGCTACATGATGATGTGTTTCCCTCTTTATGCACTGAAGCTGGTACGTTCCCTAAATTTTTCCAGTAAGATGGTACACCACCACATTATAGGTGCCAGGTCCGAGCATTCCTAGATGAACAGTTTCCTGGAAAGTGGATTGGTTGTCCTGGGCCAGTTGAATGGGCCCCAAGGTCTCCTGATCTGACCCCCTTAGACTTTTATCTTTGGGGTCATCTGAAGGCAATTGTCTATGGTGTGAAGATACGAGATGTGCAGCACCTGAAACTACGGATACTGGATGCCTGTGCTGGCATTTCTCCTGCGGTGTTGCTATCAGTGTGTGAAGAGGGGGAGAAGAGGGTTGCATTGACAATCCAACACAATGGGCAGCACATTGAACACATTTTATAAGTGGTCAGAAACTTGTAAATAACTCATGAAAGAATAAAGTTACGTTGAAACCAAGCACACCATTGTTATTCTTGTGACATTACCAATACGTTTGATGTGTCACATGGCCCTCTTCCTATTGAAAAAATAAAAGTTGTATCCAAGATGGCCGACTTCTAAATGGCCACTATGGTCACGACCCATCTTGAGGAGTTTGCCCCCTCACATATACTAATGTGCCACAAACAGGACTTTAATATCACCAACCATTCGCATGTTATTACAGTGTATCCATATAAATGGCTCACCCTGTATATAAGTTTCTATGTGTGCACAGCTTTCAATATGAGCGTATTTATCTAATTACGTCCAGCCAAGAATCTGCCAATGACATGCTCTCTCTCAATAACATCCATCGTTACCAGTCGAAGTCGCGCACTGAAATGATACATTACAGCCTCGCTGTGTTTGTCACACTGGGTCAGATTAGACATTTAGGGACTTTAGGGTGCTGGTGCCAAGGGTGAGATGTTAGAGAGAGAATGAATTGGAGGACAGGGTTGATTGTTGGGGTGTGGGGAAAAATGGATCGAGTTTGTGTCGATGGGGCTACTGACGATGCCCTCGTTCCTCTTTCTAAGCCCACCAGCCATTCCCATTTAAGATGTAATGACATCTCATAATTAGCATAATGTGCCAACTTGTCTACTGATTTTAGCTGTCACACTGTATTTGTCTGAGCTTGCTGAACTGCAGCTGCAACGCGAGGGTTGGGGGTCTACAATGGGTGTAAATAGAGCCTCACACAATCTTCACATCCCACTGACTGTTATTCATGATTTAAGTGTAACACATTGTTAATAATATAAAACCTGACAACAGACTGTAAATCTGAAAGGAAACTGTTGAGTGTAGCGACTCTTTCAGATGTCCAGCACAATCTGACATATACCATCACTCATACTGGTTTTGCATACATCTATTATATTGGCTGTACTACCCAGAAATGAACTGATTAATGTGCTGCCTTTCATTATATATTTACAACATAATTAAATATTATTAGTAATTGTGGCTAAAACCTTCGCTGATTTGATTATGAACTAACATTTTACCAATTGTAGATCACTGTCCGGTGAAGGGTTTTGTTTCATAAGTTTTCGTATAATTATTCCACATTAGTTTTGGAACAGTTAAATTCCAAAAAGGTGCACTCAGTAATTTTTAGGCTATTTAAGAGCAAAAAAGAATATTGTATGCACAAATATCCATAGATTCAAGCGTAATAACCCTGTTGACAAACTGATGGGTTTTCATAACCTTATAATCAATACGTTTATTAGGGTTTGCGGTTTGGGGAAAGCGCAATGCTCCCCCACAATATTTGAATGCAGTGGATTTTACGAATGAGGCTAATGACTGGTAACACAAAATAACAAAGGCAGAGAATAAGGGAAGTTGTAGGCATGCAAATGCTGGAGAGAAACATTTAAATTTGTGTCTCCACCTTTAGACTCAAGATATGAACGATCAACCCTAAGCGTTATCATCGGTAAAGGAGCGCCCAGTGTTGCTAACTTAATGACTTAGTCGCTATGATTAGCGAGTTTTCAGACCCCCTTAGCCACTTTTTTCTTAAAAGCCACTAGCAAAAAAATCTAGCAATTTTTGCTGGTGTTATTGGATACTTATGACGACTTTTTGATGTAAAAGCATGTATCACTGTTGCTCTCAACAAGCAGTGGGTGCTGCTGTGGGCACCTCGCCCGTGCCAAAGAGCTCACAGGTGGCGGCTAGTCCTCACGCAGCAGTCGCCCCCAGCTGCTGTCAGAGCAGGAGATGTTCACACCTACACGCCCAAACTGCAAATGAACTGTGCATGAGCGAAGCTGTTGCTCCCGCCCTGACTGTAACTCAGTCAGTTCTTCATTGACTGTTGCTTTTTGTGGATTACAAGGTTTAAAACTACATAAAAACACGCACACAAAAAAAACAGTGACTTTGCCAGAGTGCCTATTTCAGGTCACTTTTGCCGATCCCAAGCCCAGATAAAGGAGGTGGGTTTGAATTGTGACATTAAAAAATATATAATTGCTAAAAGAAATACTCAGTTTTTACTCAGTTTATATCTCTTCCATGATGTTATTTCTCTCTCCTACAGCAAGCATGATCAATTATGCAAATTATGTGATGATGTAATTTAGCAACTTTTAGGACAGCCAATACGATTTTCCTTACTGAGGAGTTGGCAACACTGACAATGTCACCAACACCTAATATCACTCCCTTCCTCCTCACCTGACGCCTCATCTCCCATCTTCAGATAGCTCACAAGAGCCAGCTAAACAACAATACAAGCTGGTTTCAAGCTAACATTAAGGCAGCTAATTTTAGGCTCATGTTGTTATGTTGTGGCAAGGATTTGTCCACCAGGGGGCAACAGTGGTTGGGGAGCTTTCAGTCTGTGGGGACGCATGCCCCGGTTCTCTTAATAAAGAAGCAACTGTGAGCTAAACATGGTCTCCGTGGTTCCTTGGTCTTAGGATATCACATATGGCGACGAGGGTAAAAGCCAGGTTTTGCTGTGAAGTTACACCGTGCTAAGTGACTTATGAACTGAGGTTGGCAAGTGGTACAGCGCTAGCATCTGTGGGAAGTGGAGCGTAACCCTCAGTGTGGAATAATGGCTACCACTTTGGGCTCGGTGGCACCGTTCGACAGCGAGCTGCAATCCTGGGAGGAATATTGTGAGATTTTGGATTACTTCTTTGTGGCGAATGATATTAAGGAGGAGGAGAAGAAGCGAGCGGTACTGTTGAGTTGCGTGGGCGCACAGACCTATGCCCTGATTAGGAACCTACTCAGTCCGGTCAAGCCAGGGGATCGTTCTTATGCTGAGTTGGTGGGATTGTTGAACAATCATTTTCACCCTAAGCCGAGTGAAATTGTGCAGCGGTGGAAGTTTAACACACGGAATAGAAGGCCGGAGGAAAGTGTGGGCGATTATGTAGCGGAGCTGAGGAAGCTCGCACAGGACTGTAACTTTGGTGACTCCCTGACGGTGATGCTGCGGGATCGTTTAGTATGTGGAATAAGCGACGACAGAATACAGCGCAGATTGTTAGCAGAGGATTCGCTAACATTTGAAAAGGCGCTGAAGTTTGCTCAAGCAATGGAGGCTGCTAACAGAGACATTGTGGATTTGAAGAGCATGACAGAACAGTCGCGATTCACTAAAGGATTAGGAGCCGTGAACAAGATGGAGGACGGCGGCTCGACGTCACAACAGGTTGTCAGGAAGTGCTACAGATGTGGAGGACTAAATCATGTGGCCAAGGACTGCAGGTTTGTTTCAGAAAAATGCCACAACTGTGGAAAGGTGGGACACATAAAAAGGGTTTGCCGAATGAAAATGGAACAAAAAGGAGGGCGTGGCAGACAAGGTAAACAAGCCCATTTCTTGGAAGAGGAGAATGTGGAGAGTGAGGAAGAAGGAGCTGAAATGCACCACATAAAGGCAAGTGTGACTATGTATAATGTGCATGAGGAGATTAGCATCCCAAGGGAAGAACCCATCAGACAGAAGCTAAAAGTAAATGGACAGAATGTGACATTTGAAGTAGACACAGGCTGTGGTTACACTATCATGTCGAAGGAGTCATTTAAAAAACTTTTTGAAGGCAGTAAGGCGCCCAAAGTAAGCAAGTGTGGAATCAAACTGAGAACGTATGGAGGCCACAAGGTACCCGTGTGGGGAGCAGCCCAAGTGCAGGTGGAATTCAGAGACAGTAAGAAAACACTGGATGTGGTGGTGGTTGAAGGGGCTGGAACTAGTTTGATGGGTCGGGGATGGATTAAGGCCCTCCAATTAGACTGGCAACCTGTACATAAGATCGAAGGCGGAGAGGATGCCTTACAGCGGATACTGGCCAGACATGAAACAGTGTTTAAGGATGAGTTGGGAACGCTGAAGGGGTTTGCGGCAAAGATACATGTAGCTAAGGATGCTAAACCGTGCTTCTATAAGCCCCGATCAGTTCCGTTTGCTATGAAAAAGAAAGTGGAGCAGGAACTGGAGAGACTGTTGGAGGAGAAAATCATCCAACCAGTGAAATTCTCAGAGTGGGCCGCACCCATTGTACCCATACTAAAGCCAGACTCCAGCGCCAGAATTTGTGGTGACTACAAACTGACTGTTAACAAGGTGTCGCCTGTAGAACAATACCCCATTCCACGAATGGAGGACATGATAGCGGGGCTGGCGGGAGGAGAAAAATACACCAAGTTAGATATGAGTCACGCATATCAACAGGTTGTACTTGATGAGGAATCTAGAAAGTATGTCACAGTGAACACACACAAGGGTTTGTTTACATACACCAGGTTGCCATTTGGTGTGAGTTCAAGTCCTGCCATTTTTCAGCGCACCATGGAGAGTGTGTTGCAAGGTCTGACCAATGTCGCAGTGTATCTGGATGACATCATCCTGACGGGAAAGAATGACAAAGAACATCTTCAAACACTGGAGGGAGTGCTGCAGCGCTTGGAGGAGGCGGGCCTGCGCTTAAAAAGGAGCAAATGTCAATTCATGGAGAAGGAAGTGACATTTTTAGGACATCGGGTGGATAAGACCGGTTTACATCCAGTGCCGGCAAAAGTGAAAGCAGTGCAGGAGGCGCCACCCCCAAAATCAGTGACAGAGCTCAAAGCTTATTTGGGGTTGTTGAACTTCTATAATAAGTTCTTGCCAAACTTGTCCACACTGTTGGCCCCACTGCACAAGCTTCTGAGAAAGGGGGAACCATGGTGTTGGGGACCAGCACAGGAGAAGGTTTTCGGCAAATCAAAGGAACTGTTGCAGTCAAGCAGTGTATTGGTACACTATGATGAGCAAAAGGATTTAATTCTTTCTTGCGATGCGTCCCCCTATGGAGTGGGAGCAGTACTAGCTCACCGCATGCCAGATGGTCAGGAAAAACCCATTGGGTTTGCATCGCGTACCCTGAATGCAGCAGAAAAGAACTACTCACAGCTGGATAAAGAAGGATTGGCTGTGATATTTGGTGTACAGTATTTTCATAAGTACCTGTACGGCAGGAAGTTCATGATTATCACGGATCATAAGCCATTGATAAGTTTGTTCCATGAGTTGAAGGCCGTCCCTCAGATGGCGTCACAGAGGATCATGCGATGGGCAGTGTTATTAAGAGCCTATGAGTATGTCATTAAATACAGAGAAGGCAAAAATAACAGTAATGCTGATGGTCTGAGTCGTCTCCCTCTTCCAGAGAACCTCCCTAAAGAGGTGGCAGCTGAGGACCAAGTGTTGATGGTAGATCAGGACCAGGAGGGCGTGATGACATCTGAGCAGCTGCAAAGATGGACAACCAAAGATCCCATACTCTCCAGAGTGCGTGAGTATGCTATGAGAGGATGGCCCACTACGCAGCATCCTAATTTTCAGCCCTACAGACAGAGACAACAGGAGCTGAGTGTGCAGGATGGGTGTGTGCTGTGGGGGGCGAGGGTGGTGATACCAGAACGAGGTCGACGCCCCCTTTTGGAACAGCTACATCAGTCACACCCAGGAATGAGCCGCATGAAGGGCCTGGCCAGAAGCTACATGTGGTGGCCGCATATGGAGAATGACATTGAAGACAAGGTGAGGTCCTGCAGTACATGTCAAGAACATAGACACAGGCCACAAGAGGCACCGCTACACCCCTGGGAGTGGCCAGAAAAGCCCTGGAGAAGGATACATATCGATTATGCGGGCCCGTTTTTGGGTAAAATGTTCTTAGTAATAGTGGACGCCCACTCCAAATGGTTAGATGTGTATCCAGTTCCATCCGCTACAGCAGCTGCAACCATAGACTGCCTGAGAAATTGTTTCAGCACGCACGGCCTTCCTGAGATGGTGGTCTCAGATAATGCCCAGTGTTTTGTAAGTGCACAAACTAAAGAGTTCATGGCAAAGAACGGAATCACTCACGTCACCTCCGCTCCATATCACCCCGCCTCCAATGGGTTAGCAGAAAGAGCAGTGCAAACGTTCAAAGAACTCATGAAAAAGAGTACTGGAGACACACTGGCAACCAAGTTAAACAGGGCTCTGTTTAGTTACAGAATCACACCACAGTCCACAACAGGGAAGTCTCCCGCTGAGTTGATGATGGGCCGGAAGTTGAGGTGTACTCTTGATCTCATACACCCTGACTTGAAACAAAAAGTGACAGCAAAACAAGATAGCCAAAGACGGTATCATGATAGACATGCCAAGGAACGCATGTTTGTTATTGGAGACACAGTATATACCAGAAACAATGGCAGAGGACCCAAATGGATACCAGGACTTATACAGGAGATGACGGGGCCTGTTTCCTACTTGGTGATGCTGGGCAATGGGACAGTGGTGAGGCGTCACGTCGATCAGCTGTTTGCCCGCCTGGAGCCGTGCCTGGCAGCAGGAATGCCTGAAGGCCACCCAGGCGAGCCCCCAAAGGCAGCCCCAAACATCAGCGCTGAGACAGGAGACGAGGATGAGAGACACATAGAGGTGCAAGTTACACCAGTGGTGAAGCCACATATGGAGAGTAGTGATTCGCTGGAATCACCTGCCACTGGGTTACGGCGATCGCAAAGGACCAAGAGAAAGCCGGAGCACCTGAGAGACTTTGTGCCGTGATTACGGTGAACTGTTATAGGTTAACCTAAGGCTGTTGGACTAAAGGTTCACTATTCCGGAGTGAAATTTCAATAAAGGCTGGGGACGGGGTTGTTGCATTTTTTTTATAAAGGTGAAGTTTTTGGTTATGGGTATTTTCTGTAGTGATTAAAACTACAGAGTAGTTCCAGTTTAAGGGGGGAGGAATGTTATGTTGTGGCAAGGATTTGTCCACCAGGGGGCAACAGTGGTTGGGGAGCTTTCAGTCTGTGGGGACGCATGCCCCGGTTCTCTTAATAAAGAAGCAACTGTGAGCTAAACATGGTCTCCGTGGTTCCTTGGTCTTAGGATATCACACATGTGTTGCAAAAAAATCACACTTTACCACTGATAAACATTTTGGTTGTATTCTCACACAGAGTTTATTTACTTAGTGTCAGAGCCTGATAAAGTTAAATTCACTTTAAAGATGCTCTCACTAACTGCAGCTAACAGCAGCCAAAGAGGCTAACAGTAGCAAAGATGGTTTCACTATCATCAGCAAACAGCAGCTAATGGAGGCTAACAGTAGCAAAAACAGCAGTTGTACCCATAGAAAAGTAGAGCATGTGCTATACATCTCACCTATTAACAAATTCACAGTGCACAGAGACAGTAGACCTACTCAGATAGGTAAGAACTTCAGGGTGGCTCTGAAACAGTTGCAGAAACACGCTGGCTGGCCACAGCTGTTATTGGATACAGTCTAAATGTAATGTTTTTGATTTCTACTGCCTGACTAAAATATGTTCGTCCTACAGTGGCCCCTACACCTAGGATTATGCATTTAAACTGGGAGGAGAAAGAAAACAGAATTCAATCTGCAATCTACTGACCTCTAACGAAAAAATTTTACACACACTAACTTTAATGAGCCTCTACATAAAAAATAATTATAGAGGCTTGCAGTACATTTACCATGCTGTCTACTTTATGAAACACTTTGTCTTTTTCATGGTAGACAGCTAGCTAAAGCCCTGGCTGATGCAAGTCAGCTTATTTTCTTGGTTCTGTGTTGCCTACATTATAATTGTTCATAATTTATATTAAAGTTACAGAAGAAAAAAGCTAATAAAGAATAACTTACATTCCAAATTAGTTCAGTAGCCACAAGGGGGATTATAAAATGTAGCTAATGTGCTATAAGTTGCCTGCTTTTCTTACATTCTGGCTCTCAGTCTCCTCAGAGGGCAGCATTGACAAGTTAGCATGCTATTACTCAGTGTTGCCAATTTCTATGTCAGACTTCATGACAGGTTAGTCCTGAAAAATATGTTAAGGTTTACATGTTATGAGAGAATCCAGCAACTGCAGCAGCTCCACTTAAATGAACTGATTTTGCTGCTTCTAAATTCTGTTAAGTGGTGTGACAAGTCCTCAAAATACATAAAACAGTTTTGGCAGCTTCAGGCCAAAGAATAGCACAGACTCTGACTTTAAGACTACAAATAAATCAAAGCAGATCTTACCTATACCTCTACGTCTAACATTGTATTCCATAATTGACCAGTCTTGGTTTTATATAACTACAATTTAATAGAATCTAATAAATTTGATTACTGTGATGTATTCCATCCTGTCTTGTTCATATAGAGAGACAACCAGGTTGTCAAGAAGCTAAATAAACATGCATCCAAGCCGTCTAATGCTGAAGATGCTCTATTCATCAAACTTGTTTTAATCCATCTCCATATGATTCCTGCCCTCTCCGCTATACATCCATGTCTCAGCAGCCTTATATATAATGTATCTGAGCCGAAAAGAAATGGAGGTGACAGAGTCAGTAGTTACTATGATCAAATATCATAGCTGGAGGCTAACTGGGCATCAGGGCCCACTGACAGACACAATCCACAGGGAATGAAGAGAGCGAGGGAAAGAGAGAGAGAGAGAGAGAGAGAGAGAGAGAGAGAGAGAGAGAGAGAGAGAGAGAGAGAGAGAGAGAGAGAGAGAGAGTAGTATAAGGTAAAGGATGGCTGTGTGTCAGTATAAATCACCATTGCGGAGGCTAATCTCTCAGGGTCTCTGGCAGGATAAATACTTTGCTTATAGATCCAACACGCCTCAGTCTCCGCCACTCATTGGGCACGCTCAGTAGGCACAAGGCCTCCCTGGGCACGGTGCTGGCTTTCCTCCTTAAATCATCCCTCATTCTCATCTTTTTTCACTCTGTCCTTTCAGCACTGAAAGGCTGAGAGGCTGGCTGGATGACTGGAAGAGGAATGAGATAGATATTATTCTCAATTCTCTTTATTTCCTCATACTTCCCCTCACAGCAAAAAAAAAAAAAAAGCACTCACTCTCATCAAGGCTTTTAATCTCATATCTGATCTTAAAGTCTTATTTCTCTTCTTCTTCAAACAGGAAGGCAACAGGAAAGTAATTTGGGCAGCCAGGGTGAGCTGATTTCTTTTGTTACTCTAGCAGTCTCACTTGTCGTTGTTTTTTTGCTATAAACACGCCACAATATCTTGAAAGAAGGAGAAAAATATGCAGATTACTTTACTCCTTTGGAGAAAAAAAAAAGCAAAACAACCAACTCTATCTTGCTAGATGACAGGTTCTTTTCACTTGTTTTACAAAAAAGACCCCAAAACAAAAGACTTTCCTGAAATGACTTGTTAAAAGAGATACCTTTTGCAGTGTACCAATCATTCAGATTTTCCTTTTTTCTCCCTTAACTTTTCCAGCACACAAGTGGCAACACTGAAATAAAATTAGCCTCGTTCTATTGTCCTTGCACTGATGGGGAGCATGTTCAGTACAGCTGACTCCATTGTTTAAAACCTTATATTTGCAACTGCCTTGCTCTCCATTTTGTGCGTTTTGTATTTGCATGTCCCCTGCTTCACCCCTTTCATCACACTGATGGCGAGGTAAAGACGAGTGCTTCCTTTTCCCCCTGCCTTCACCTTCCTCATCCTCTCCTCCCTTCTTCATTCCTCCCCTGTTCTTTCTCTCGGTAATCTGGTCCTGTCTGTAACAGTGGAGTCGCTGCCTGATTGAAACAAACGGCCACTGATTGCTGATCAGCCAGCTGTAAAGCCTGGCAAGGATATGAGCTAATGAAAAAATGGACCTGATTTGAGAGGCACCGAGCGTCGCTCACCCTGCTAGCCCTGCTGTCCCCTGCTGTTACCCTCTATCCCTCCATTCCTCCCCTCATCTTCCTCCCATCACCTCCTCCACCTCGCTCTGTCTGCCTATCATTGTCAGCTATCCTTACCAGGGGAGAGAGAGGAACAGAGGGAGATGGGTTAGGGCTGATTGTTTAATAGATGTTTAATAAAAAAACAAGGAATCAGCAGACACACACAAGAACACCGTGGTCGTTTTTTAAGGGTGTGTTTGAATATGTATTAGTCTGTGCGTTTCTCTACTTCTTACTTCTTCTTGACCAAACTGTCTACAAAGGGCAAAAGTCACCAAATCCTTGAACACGGCTGGATTTTATTCAGTATAGTGTTTATACGTGTGACACAAAAACAGAAATTTGTTGTAATGTAATAAGGAAGGAGGTAGAATAATAAATGCAATAATCACTAAACAGCATCTGATGCGTTTTATACTCTTGCTTTAACATCAAAGAAATCTTTTTTTTTTTCGTAATGAAAGTACAAAGAGGTGCGATAATAGCATACAAAGGCAGATTTGTGCACATAATGGACCACTTAGGACACAATGAACATCTTGTGTTTATTTTTGCACATTTTGATAATTTCCCCTCCCCATTTTGATGCATACAAAAGCACAAAGTAGCACACTCTGACCCCCTCATCTTGTAGGGTCACAGCTAAAGTGGGCAATAATTGCCAGTGGCAACTCATTAGAATTGGTGATTTGGTGAAAGTAAAGTTGAAAAATAAGAGAAAACACACAAATAAAATGCATGCGCGTAGACATGCTGCACATGCAAATACATCCACACGTACACAAAGACACAGAAGCAAGCAGACACACACGCACGCACACACATGCACAATGCCAAGACGATAAATTAAAATCTTCATGACCCTGTGTACACAAGATTAGCCACAGGGCCAACAGACCTGCATTAGAGCAGTGCATAGTAACAGAGAAGAACTCTAATTGGGGGTCATTATTTAAGCTGAGAGAGGGAAAAGGCTGAAGACTCTCATTTTCACTCCTCTTTCCTCCTTTTTTATTTGACAGGCGCAGTAAATTAAGAAAGTGGTGATATTTAATACCTTTTAACCTCCCTGAGACAGTTTTCTGATCAATTACTAGAGCAGGCTGTAATTGTTAGCCTGGATAATGATTCCACATGTGAGAGAGCAGCGCTAAGATGAAGCCCTGAGTGCAATTACCTTAAACCCTTCAAGTGTACTGGTGTCTGGAGAGGACATTATGGAAAGAGAGAGTAAGTAAGACAGGCAGAGAGAACCTGCAGAGAGAGAAGCTGCCATATGAAGCCGAGGGTGACTTGAAATCGTCTGACAGTGAGGAGTAAACCCTGCACATTAACCTGAAACATACTGACTGATCACGAAGAATAACCCGCCAGGGCTGGGCTTTCGCTTTGGATTGTTAAGATTACTTTAAAATTTTGTGCATGAAGTATTGGCGCTTATCCCTCAAACAGTTGTTAGACTATTTCTGTGCGCTCTCTAATAAAGTCAACGCTCAATAAGACATGCATTTCGCTACTTTGAAATTTGCTCACTGTGAGCGTGGCATTACCGTTTCACTCAAAGCTTTGCTGTGCATGCGTACAGCCTCGCAGATCGGCTAGAACGGCAGTAGAATTTAACAGTTTTTATTGTGTTTTGGCACATTAATTTCACAGCCCACATATTTATAGTTTTGATTCATTTCTACCTCTTCCATCTTTGTTTCCAGCAGTATGTGTGCTCCCCACTAAATAAAAGGAAAACTATGATCAACTGCTTGCTAGCCTTTAACAGCTAAGAAGGGAGCAGCGAGTAGAGCGTACAAGTGGAGCATATAGTAGAAAATAGTGA